TAATCTCATTAAATGTCATCATTGTATTCATTGATATTAATGTTTAAATAATTAGTGTATAGAGTATTTCTATACATCTTACTGTTCGTGGTTTTTCCGAGCTTATATAGAAAGTAAGTATGAATGATGTTTCTTCTGACCTATACCCCAAGTTAAATTTCCAATACCTAGTAAACTTGGATGTTAAAACTCAGTGAAAACGTCGCTTATCCACACAATCAAACTCCTCACTCACTTGAGTAAGCTTCAATGACAAGAAACATCGGAATTTGTTCAAGTTGAATTATGTTCTCTTACAATAGCACTCTGGACAGTACTTGAGATAACTACTCTATGCTTCATGTTTGTTTACTTCATATGGTTGTCTCCATTGTAATGGTTTAATTTGAGTCTAAAATTTTCTGTTATCAATTGTATAAATTATATTTAAAGTAACCTTAACAAGTGAAATTTAAATTATTACAACGATTCGTCTGCTAAATAATGTCTTCTACATGCTTTGCACCAAGTTTCGGTCATATTGTTTGTTCAGATTTTGATGAATATTCGTGTAGACTTCCATCCCTGTCATACAGACAATAATTTGAGTAATGATATAAAATAAACTCATTTCAATACTAAAAAATAAGTGTTTGGAATGAAGTTATTCTGTTTTATATCAAATACAAATAAAAAGGCTCAACTGTGTCATAAACATTGTCGATGGAGCGATACTTAGCAATGTAGGTTAATATGCCGTAGCACTGAAGACGAAGAAGAAACTGATTAACACGTAAAGGGTTACATTTTTAGTGTGATTCAATGGTTATTCATAAGCTAGTGTTGACGAATTGCATGTCACATTATTAGTGAGTCACTTCTTTCGCTAATCTGATTTATTGTATGGAAAACTCCACTATGGTTAACATATATGAAGACTGAGATAACTTATTTGTCAGTCATCACATAAGTAAACAAAGAAACGTAAATATTAGAGAGTTACGTTATTTTTTCAAATGTACATGAAATAAAACTCGTATATTTAGTTCTTATGAGATTATGAAATAAAGGAAAATCCGAAACATGCAAAAGAACTGACTAACAATGAAAATTTTAAGATATGGATTCACCATTTATCAGGACTTTACTCAAAAGGATATTATTGCTATGGAGAAAAAAGGAACCACAGGTTCTCATGAATGTGAAAAAATCATGTGTGATTAATACTAAACGAATGTGATCGCTACAATATTCGCTTATATTAATGTGCAAGACTTACTTACGCCTGTTACTCCCAATGGAGCATAGGCCACCGACCAGCTTTCTCCAACCCAATCTGTCCTGAGCCTTCTTTTCTAGTTCTATCCAGTTCTTGTTCATTCTTCTCATGTCTGTCTCTATCTCTCGGCGTAATGTGTTCTTTGGTCTTCCTCTTCTCCTTTGACCTTCAAGATTCCATGTGAGGGCTTGTCTTGTGACACAATTAGGTGATTTCCTCAAAGTGTGCCCAATCCACTTCCAGCGCTTCCTCCTGATTTCTTCCTCCGCTGGAATCTGGTTTGTTGTCTCCCACAGTAACTTGTTGCTGATAGCGTCTGGCCAACGGATCCGAAGTATCTTGCGTAGACAGCTGTTGATAAACACTTGCATCTTCTGGATAATGGCTTTCGTAGTTCTCTACGTCTCCGCCCCATACAGAAGAACTGTCTTGACATTTGTATTGAAAATTCTAACCTTGGTGTTGGTTGACAATTGTTTTGAGCTCCAGATGTTTTTCAGTTGTATGTATGCTGCTCTTGCTTTGCCGATCCGCGCCCTCACATCTGATCCACCGTGTTCATCAATGATGCTTCCCAGATATGTTAAGGTTTTCACATCCTCCAAAGCTTCTCCGTCAAGTGTAATTTGATTGGTGCATATTGTGTTGTATCGGAGAGTCTCGCTTTTCCCTTTGTTTATATTGAGACCTACTGCTGCTGAGGCTGCTGCTACACTGGTCGTTTTCTCCTGCATTTGTTGTTGCGTTTGTGATAGAAGAGCCAGATCATCCGCGAAGTCTAGATCATCAAGTTGCATCCTGCCTGTCCACTGTATCCCATGCTTTCCTCCAGTCGTTGACGTCTTCATAATCCAGTCGATCACAAAGAGAAAAGGTAAGAGTAAGCAACCTTGCCTAACACCGGTCTTCATCTCGAATGAGTCGGTGAGTTGTCCTCCGTGGACGATTTGGCAGTTTCGTACATTATAGGAGTTCCGTATGATATTGACTATCTTTCCAGGCACGCTGTAGTGCGAAGAAGCCTCCACAGTGTCGTCCTGTCCACGCTATCAAATGCCTTCTCGTAGTCAATGAAGTTGATGTAGAGTGATGAATTCCATTCGATTGATTGTTCCACAATGATACGTAGAGTTGCTATTTGATCTGTGCACGATCTATCCTTACGAAATCCAGCTTGTTGATCTCGAAGTTGGGCGTCCACGGAATCCTTCATCCTGTTTAACAATACCCTGTTGAAGACTTTTCCTGGTATTGAGAAGAGAGTGATGCCCCTGTAGTTGTCGCACTTGCTGAGATTGCCTTTCTTTGGTATCTTGATCAGAAGTCCTTTTTTCCAGTCTGTTGGTACTTGTTCTTCATCCCAAATCTTACTGAAGAGGATGTGGAATATCTTGGCAGTTGCTTCTACATTTGCTTTCAGTGCCTCTGCCGGGATGTTGTCTGGTCCCGCTGCTTTGCCGCTCTTGATTTGTCTAATGGCCATGCTGATCTCCTCAATTGTTGGTGGGCCAACATCGATTGGGAGGTCTGTAGGTGCTGCTTCGATGTTGGGTGGGTTCAGTGGAGCTGGTCGATCCTTGGTCCATGAGATTCCCATCCAATAAGTGCATTTTGTGCTTTTCTGAACAGCATCAATGCAACTCCTTGTGTATGTGGGGCACTTTCTTTTTCATGACTGGAGTATAACAGAAGTTCTCCTGAAGACAGTCGTTGTTGTCCAACCTGCGTCCAATGTGTTTCACTGATTCCAAGCACTTCCAGGTTGTATTTTCTCATTTCTGCAGCAATTTGGAAGACTTTTCCGGTCTCCCACATTGTCCGGACATTCCATGTACCTATATAAATTGTTGCTCTGGTTGTAAGAAGGTGCATCGGCCTCATGACTTCCGAAGGAACTCGGCTTTCATCATGAGACGTCATAATTATTCCTTCTACTCCCAGGGCAGAGTTTGAAAGGTTTGAATGATTTTTTCTGGTTAGCGTTTTTTTAGCGAGTTGATTTTCTACGGGATGGGGTCGCTAACCCCATGCCCAACCCTCCTTTACCCGGGCTTGGGACCGGCAGTAACCCCCAGAGGAGCTACAGGCGGAGTGCAAGACTATGCGAAACAATTGGTAGTAAATAACATTAGTTTAAAACAATGCAAACTGTTTTGAAAGAAGAAGAGTGTAAGAAATGGTCTCCAGCCTTTGTGGCTACTTTGAAAATGATGAACAAGGTAATTTTGTGGATAATCTAGCACAACCAAGAATGAGATGACGATAAAGGTCATACTAATTGGTCTTTTAGTTTTTAAAATAGTTTCTAGTAGATGGTAGTCATTGTCAAGTCATAATTCTGATTTGACAGTTACTTATAAAGCGAGCCAGATATTAAATCAACATCTCTGGGGATTGATATCGATCCACATCTAAAGAATCCTGTTTCTTGAATGAGTGATTCGCTGCTAATTTATCGTCAGTGTGCTCGTATGTGAGTGTCAGATCATTAAGCAACCCGACGTAACTGAATACCGATAATAAACGCTATATTATTGTTCTGGGAAAGGGCTATCTTAACAATACATTTGAAAAACCAACGTAACAGAAACATTTGCGTGACATCTTTTGTTCTGTATGGGATTCCACGAAATTCAAAAATACCTTAAGGTGACCTAACAGTAATAACTTTTGTGTTTTGGTTAAAATAAATGGATCCCACATTACTATATAATGTATTACTGATCGTCTCAGTCTTGATTTTCCATTGATCAACCAAGTCAGTTTCATTACTTTCGTAAGCCACTTAAAAGCACAATGACAGAACTTTAAAAATTTATCGATCTCGACGCATGAGGTGTATAGATGAAAGCTTCTGCGAACATGAAACCTTGTCAAAGATAAAAAAGTATCAGATAACTTCAAATCCTAAGCTTATGGAAGCAGTATTTCATCATAGACATTAAATGCTAGTCTCAAACCGGAAAACATCACTTCATTAAGATGCACATTGTGATCTTCGTTTTCTCACACATTTTTTGACCGATAATTAATAAAGATTCAGTGATTCTCTAGTCCGAGCATACTTTTTTCACATGAAGACCAAGGTTAACCGATCGCGCGCTTCGACTGACGACAATTAACTTTCAACAATGACGAGATAATCTTGATCCGCCAGAGGCACACCATCCTATATTATTATGTTTCAGGCACTCAGATATATACATTGTCAAACCATGTTATATAATAAATAAGAAGTCATAGTTTCTACACAAATAAGCCAGAAGTTAAAGAATACAGCAAGCCGTAAATGATTTGCAAAAATTTAAAGAATGGTTAAACGGATAGTAATAGTCAATGAATCAAACGGGAGCTTAAAATAAAAAAAATATAAAAAGGCAACAAACCAGTTATACAATAAAAGCATACATATTAGTAATCTGTAAAGGTTACCACTTACTCGGTATTCATCCAGTTAAAATAGTACAGATTATCTTGATCTTAACTTTTAGCTATTAAACTTCATGTTCATCGCAATTTTATACCGGACCATTTCATTTGGTTTCAAATCTACTGATGAAGCAGATGAATACTTTTACTCTAACATTCTATATGATATACCAATACAGTATCAGTATCTAATGCGAGCTGGTTATTCACCTGGTCAGTTTGGAACAGAACATAATCCCATAATTATACCACCAGAAAGTCATGGAAAAAGTAAATTAATCGAATTGTATGCCAATAGTAAAACTATCTTTGTTTAAACAAAGATAGTTACACATTGAACTGTAGAAAAAATTCGCTTAGTTCTATGCAGAAATATAAATTTACCATTATTTTGTTCAATACACCGTTGTGATGAAACTGTCATAAAATGTTTTGGGAAATTACATAAACTAGTATAACGGTTTAATTCAGTTTTGTGCTTAGCATTAAATCCTGGACCTCCACTATATGCACATGCTTTAGGACAAAACTGATGTATATCCTGACGAACAATTAGTTGAAATCTTCTAGCTGAAGTACTAGTAGTACTATTGGTATAATCTTCATTTGAATGCGTATTAAAGTCCAACAACGCTGTACAGTAATACATTATAAATTGTATTCTTGTATTTGATCGATTAGGGATTAAATAGTCATAAAATGGTTTGTTTATTTCAGGAGTTTGTAATTTTAATTTATGAAGTTTAATTAAAGTTTGATAAAATTTATAATAAAAATTGTTTGTTCTTATATGATTAGTGTTAATGAATTTTGCAAATTCATTTATATTGGCATACAATTCGATTAATTTACTTTTTCCATGACTTTCTGGTGGTATAATTATGGGATTATGTTCTGTTCCAAACTGACCAGGTGAATAACCAGCTCGCATTAGATACTGATACTGTATTGGTATATCATATAGAATGTTAGAGTAAAAGTATTCATCTGCTTCATCAGTAGATTTGAAACCAAATGAAATGGTCCGGTATAAAATTGCGATGAACATGAAGTTTAATAGCTAAAAGTTAAGATCAAGATAATCTGTACTATTTTAACTGGATGAATACCGAGTAAGTGGTAACCTTTACAGATTACTAATATGTATGCTTTTATTGTATAACTGGTTTGTTGCCTTTTTATATTTTTTTTATTTTAAGCTCCCGTTTGATTCATTGACTATTACTATCCGTTTAACCATTCTTTAAATTTTTGCAAATCATTTACGGCTTGCTGTATTCTTTAACTTCTGGCTTATTTGTGTAGAAACTATGACTTCTTATTTATTATATAACATGGTTTGACAATGTATATATCTGAGTGCCTGAAACATAATAATATAGGATGGTGTGCCTCTGGCGGATCAAGATTATCTCGTCATTGTTGAAAGTTAATTGTCGTCAGTCGAAGCGCGCGATCGGTTAACCTTGGTCTTCATGTGAAAAAAGTATGCTCGGACTAGAGAATCACTGAATCTTTATTAATTATCGGTCAAAAAATGTGTGAGAAAACGAAGATCACAATGTGCATCTTAATGAAGTGATGTTTTCCGGTTTGAGACTAGCATTTAATGTCTATGATGAAATACTGCTTCCATAAGCTTAGGATTTGAAGTTATCTGATACTTTTTTATCTTTGACAAGGTTTCATGTTCGCAGAAGCTTTCATCTATACACCTCATGCGTCGAGATCGATAAATTTTTAAAGTTCTGTCATTGTGCTTTTAAGTGGCTTACGAAAGTAATGAAACTGACTTGGTTGATCAATGGAAAATCAAGACTGAGACGATCAGTAATACATTATATAGTAATGTGGGATCCATTTATTTTAACCAAAACACAAAAGTTATTACTGTTAGGTCACCTTAAGGTATTTTTGAATTTCGTGGAATCCCATACAGAACAAAAGATGTCACGCAAATGTTTCTGTTACGTTGGTTTTTCAAATGTATTGTTAAGATAGCCCTTTCCCAGAACAATAATATAGCGTTTATTATCGGTATTCAGTTACGTCGGGTTGCTTAATGATCTGACACTCACATACGAGCACACTGACGATAAATTAGCAGCGAATCACTCATTCAAGAAACAGGATTCTTTAGATGTGGATCGATATCAATCCCCAGAGATGTTGATTTAATATCTGGCTCGCTTTATAAGTAACTGTCAAATCAGAATTATGACTTGACAATGACTACCATCTACTAGAAACTATTTTAAAAACTAAAAGACCAATTAGTATGACCTTTATCGTCATCTCATTCTTGGTTGTGCTAGATTATCCACAAAATTACCTTGTTCATCATTTTCAAAGTAGCCACAAAGGCTGGAGACCATTTCTTACACTCTTCTTCTTTCAAAACAGTTTGCATTGTTTTAAACTAATGTTATTTACTACCAATTGTTTCGCATAGTCTTGCACTCCGCCTGTAGCTCCTCTGGGGGTTACTGCCGGTCCCAAGCCCGGGTAAAGGAGGGTTGGGCATGGGGTTAGCGACCCCATCCCGTAGAAAATCAACTCGCTAAAAAAACGCTAACCAGAAAAAATCATTCAAACCTTTCAAACTCTGCCCTGGGAGTAGAAGGAATAATTATGACGTCTCATGATGAAAGCCGAGTTCCTTCGGAAGTCATGAGGCCGATGCACCTTCTTACAACCAGAGCAACAATTTATATAGGTACATGGAATGTCCGGACAATGTGGGAGACCGGAAGAGTCTTCCAAATTGCTGCAGAAATGAGAAAATACAACCTGGAAGTGCTTGGAATCAGTGAAACACATTGGACGCAGGTTGGACAACAACGACTGTCTTCAGGAGAACTTCTGTTATACTCCAGTCATGAAAAAGAAAGTGCCCCACATACACAAGGAGTTGCATTGATGCTGTTCAGAAAAGCACAAAATGCACTTATTGGATGGGAATCTCATGGACCAAGGATCGACCAGCTCCACTGAACCCACCCAACATCGAAGCAGCACCTACAGACCTCCCAATCGATGTTGGCCCACCAACAATTGAGGAGATCAGCATGGCCATTAGACAAATCAAGAGCGGCAAAGCAGCGGGACCAGACAACATCCCGGCAGAGGCACTGAAAGCAAATGTAGAAGCAACTGCCAAGATATTCCACATCCTCTTCAGTAAGATTTGGGATGAAGAACAAGTACCAACAGACTGGAAAAAAGGACTTCTGATCAAGATACCAAAGAAAGGCAATCTCAGCAAGTGCGACAACTACAGGGGCATCACTCTCTTCTCAATACCAGGAAAAGTCTTCAACAGGGTATTGTTAAACAGGATGAAGGATTCCGTGGACGCCCAACTTCGAGATCAACAAGCTGGATTTCGTAAGGATAGATCGTGCACAGATCAAATAGCAACTCTACGTATCATTGTGGAACAATCAATCGAATGGAATTCATCACTCTACATCAACTTCATTGACTACGAGAAGGCATTTGATAGCGTGGACAGGACGACACTGTGGAGGCTTCTTCGCACTACAGCGTGCCTGGAAAGATAGTCAATATCATACGGAACTCCTATAATGTACGAAACTGCCAAATCGTCCACGGAGGACAACTCACCGACTCATTCGAGATGAAGACCGGTGTTAGGCAAGGTTGCTTACTCTTACCTTTTCTCTTTGTGATCGACTGGATTATGAAGACGTCAACGACTGGAGGAAAGCATGGGATACAGTGGACAGGCAGGATGCAGCTTGACGGTTTAGACTTCGCGGATGATCTGGCTCTTCTATCACAAGCGTAGGAGAAAACGACCAGTGTAGCAGCAGCCTCAGAAGCAACCATGGATGGAAAGGAGAACAATGCGATTCTCCCGTATCAATAAATGTTTGGTCGTCTTGGTCACAATGGTCTTCCTGTGCACCATCATTTTATTCATCATTCAAACAGGTACCGTCAAATTATTTTTCCGAAAATAAGACATACTGTATGATTTTAAATAAAGGGGAGATCAGACAAAGGAGTCGGTACAGAGAATGTGTTAGTAAAGTATCCGACTATGAGCAAGAAGAAATACGTAGTGCTGGTTATCGAGGGGTGTTTACGAAGAATGAAGGGATGTGGCAACAGTATGAATACCAGACATGTAGAACGCAACCATATAATCACCACTTGTCTTTAACCTCGGGAATTCATTCAACTCAATTATCTCGTCTTTTAGGACAGTTTGTAAGTACAAATATTTGATGATATCATTTCTTTACTCTTGTCCAAAGTTAAATTAACTATTATTTTGCTGATAAAAAGTATGTATCGCACACTGTTTATTTTATTCCCACAATGAAAATGAACCAGCGAAAAAACAGTAGAAACCATTTTACCTTCAATCAGTTAAGAACGAGATTTCAAACAGACCATTTGCACGTAATATTCATCGATTTGAACTATATCATTTAGTATATATTGATCATTTGTTTACCTTGATCGAGTTTCCTACTTCACTTTGTTCTGTCGTGTTCACGATCTCAATTATGAATATTTTGTGTTCAATTTCTTTTGTTTCGTCCATGACGGTATTACAGTGTTCAAAAAGCATCGTTTAACGTTGCTGTTTCTAAACCCAAACTTCATTTTAAACGCTACTTCAAAAATATTCACCTAGTGAATTTTATTAGGTGTTATTTCATGTAGAAGATTTCTTAGCTTTCAAAAATACTTTCTGTGTGAATGAGTATTACATGTCAAAGAATGGTGGCGGCTCACCAAATTAGATTATTGATTTAACTCTACCCCGAAATGAATTGGCCGGTTATTTTTATGACAACTAAAATTATTTTAAATAATGACTAAAATATAAGCATTTTCGATGAACGATCGACCGTTAGTTGTTTGAGGAGTAAAAGATCACTGAAAACATCACGTATTTATCAGTGATGTATAGTTATGGCAACTGTTTCCATCCATGAAAAACACTATAAACGAACAGATATTTTCAAACATTCTTGAAGTGCATCAACCATATCGAGTGGTTCTTTTCTATCAATAATCATTTCTTCAGTGGTATCATGTTGAATTATTCGCCAATAATCCAGTGAAAAAATGGTGTCTCTTAACACTGGCAACAAATACAACTGTGGTGGTGGACTAGTTATCATCCCTACTCTTTATTGAACGATAAAAATTTCGTCAACTTGAGCTGTGGAGCCAATATGAAAGAGATTAGGAAGTCATTTGTTAACATATAAAAAACACATGAACTGTTGTACAGTTGAATGAAATATTTAATTTACGACACTGATTATAATATTTATGATCTTTAGTTTTCACTGTTCCTTTACTGTAAATAGATTTGACTGGAAAAATCATTTGAACAATCAACCCTTTATTTGAATGTAACTCACTTTTATAGTTTTTACTTTCCATAAAACTACCATGCTTAACTTAATTTGATTTAGTTCTTAATACACTTTATATCATATAACAACAAAATAAACTGAACATAGAACGCATTCAGTCCTAATGGTCATACTAAGTAGATTAAGAAAGGAACTCAAATATGATCATTAGCACTTTAGAATATTTAACTTGTTCTCCGAATAACATCTACTAATCAAATATATGATTATTGAAAACTCATATAGCGAAAAATCGTAGATGTCAATTTTTGGTTTAATTTTCTCTGGAGTCCAACTTTATTTTCTATAACAAATGCAACAAACAGTTCGTTGGTATTAAACTTGTAATTTGTTGAGATCTACATTTTTCACTTCTGTTGTTTGATATAGATGGTGTCTAATCCTATTTTGTAGATTCATGGTGAATTTGATGGGTTTTCTCATTATGAATCCTTCTTTCTATAAACTCTAGGATGAAATCCTGTATCAATCTGAAACTATTTTGCTTTTGACCATGTTGACATATCTAGTTATTTTCATCGTATTGAAAATTGTACTTAGCAGACTAACCGGTCAAATATGTGGTCGAAATACATGATTTCGGATTGCTTTTATACATTATCAGTCAAATATCTGTAAAATGTCA